TTATTATTATAATTATTATTACTATTATTATTATTTATTATTATTATTATTATTATTATATATTCGCCTAATCCCCGTAAAAAAAAAAAAAACAGGAGCAGGCTTAAGAAATATACCAAAGATGGCCATGGCTGTGGGTCACTTTGATAATTTAAGCAATCGCGTCGCTGGCAACAGTAGTGCCACTAAGTGGTCAGCAAGTTGGTAAGCTTGAGTCATGGGATGAGAAGAGTTTGTCTGCATTTTTTTATCATTAACTCGATTTTCTCTGCCGAATACAATGGGATATACTTATTGTTCACTTGCGAATTGCTCTATAAATTCTAAATGGAATAAAAGATTGTCATTCTCTCGTTTTCCAATTGATCGCACAGTTGAGTTGTAGCCATTTCGCACAAGTTGATTTTTAATTGATCTTTACATAGTATGGTGTATCCACATTATCCCTAACGGGCAGTCATGCCTATGGCATTCATATTGCATCTCTCTTCAGAATTACCAGTCAAGATCAGCGGAAAAATACGACTTAAATTAAAAAAAAATATATATATATATATACTGTATATGTATATGGAGTTACAGTTTACAAGGTTTGTATCTTAGCTTTTATATTTTCTACAACATTTGTATCTGTACTGGCTGGTGGTAGTGAATATATATTTATCTGAAGAACTATTTATAATCCAAGTTACAAATATGAAGGTTCAGTTAATAACAGATGTTACTTAGAAGTTTGACAAACATTCTTATTCGGCTAATCGATTTCAATAATTAAAAAGTCAATTATGTAAATGAATTTTTTTATCACAAAAGTGACTGATGGAACAAAAAAAAACTATTAATATAAAATTGTGTACAACTGTTGTACCTCCGACTGGGATTGAAAGAATATTGTCATCATTCAAGATAACGAAACTGTAAAATTTCAAAGTTAGTTACAACTTTTCCTGTATTCACAATTTTTTTGGATTACTCTGTCGTGTGGTGGTAGAGCAATAAGTGAACATTACTTTTGTATGTTCTAAAATCAGTATACTGTGCAGTGCAGGCCTTGAAATATTATTCCTATAATTCTACAAAAAATGCAAATTGTCTACAAAGTGCATGTAAACGCCTTAGTTAAGGACGTTCAGGTGATGGGCAAGTCAAAGGGAATGATTGAAACCCGCCTTTTGATGCATTCAATATTTATTGATGTGGTCAGTACCTGCAGAGAACAAGGCGTTCAATAGTATTACATGGTGATCTATCTGATACATAATTAGTTAGTCTCACACAAGTTATCTTAATTATAATTGATTATTGAGCATAGTGACATGATACAAAGTTCATAACTCTGTTAATCTTAGTTACACTTCATTCAGCGTTGTCTAATTGCTCCAGATAAAGCAGGAACGAGTAGGCATAATTAGTCCACTTTGGCTGTACTTACAAGTGCCGGTCAATGCTAACCAGCATGGTGTACCAAGGGAAAATAGTACTGTGCAAATTGTTCCAGCACAAAACCTGGCCAGGATTGGGAGTCGGTGCTCACCATTCCTAGCAGAGGGCTGGTCCTCACAGCATCACTCGAGAGGGCGATCTGGCGTGGAGGCCAGGCGGCCACGCCACCCTCTAAAGTCTAAACCATACACTCAGCAGAATCAGGACCTCTTGCCTGTAAACACCGCTCCCCCCAGCCGCCACATCTGGCGAGGTCACAGGTCGCGTGGGGGTGGGGTATCACTCGAGAGGGTGAGTTGCATCAGCACTGGCGCCAGCACTGACGCCAGCGGCGATAACACTCCCGGCGGTAGCACCGCCCCCCACCTTCCAGCCGCCACATCTGGTAAGGTCACAGGCCGCGTGGGAGGGGCACGTGGTCGCAGGCTGAGATGTAATGTTTGTTCGGGTAAGGCAACAAACGCCAGTACTGACGCAAGTCAGCGGCGATAACAGTGCATGTAAATCATTAGTAAGGAAAATTCGGATTCTTAAACATTAAGTTAGGCAGAACGAAATGGGCTCGTCCGTGTTGTGACTTGCTGGTTCTCTAGAGGCACCAAAAATGAACGTTGAAGGAACCATCTTCCTATAGTACAGAATAAGATACTCTGACCACGCAATTAAAAATGAGAACATTATATAAAGATGCCTTTGTGTAAAATTAAAAAATAAAAGGGCCTCAGGAAGACAAGACATTCATCAGTTGAACAGATACAAGATATTCTTATATAAGTTTGGAGTGTTGGATCGTGGTTACCAAACCTTAGATGTGAGGATGACCATTCACATGAAGTTGTAGATTTTTTTTTTACATAATATTGGTTATATAAAAACAATTTAGTCAATCAATCAGAGTATCGTCCTCATATCTGAGGGTTGGCGACCACAGTAACTCTAAACGTTCTCGGGCTGTCTTTACCAATCCTCTTAAATTTTGCATTTCTCTGGGGACCCAGTTTTTAATTTCATCTAGCCCAATCTCTGCCTTCCCGTGGCCCTCCTACCCCCAACTTTACCCATTAAAATTTTTGTTTTAATCCCCCATCCCTTATGATATGATGATATGACCAAATTATCAAATTTATCTTTCTATACATTTCAAGTATTTCTCTTAGAATTTTTGATAATCTTAGTACTTTTTTATTTGTTTTCCTGTCATTGTAGCTTATTCTTCGCATTCTCCTAACACACCACATTTGAAAAGCCTCCAACCTCTTTCTGGTGTCTACTGAATGTCCTTGCATACATCATACATCATTTTTCATTCTGCTCACAGTTACTTCTACTCTAGCCTTATCATTGCATAGTGCTTCTACGTACTCTGCTCATCTCTCTTTTACTTCTGCCTCAAACCCGATCTTATCGTCTTATAGTCCCACTCTATTTATTTCCCCCCTTTTTGGTACACTTGTTTGATTTCTCTGTACATTTCCCTATAATTATACTTTCTGTCACCACCTTCAATCCCCTTGCTTTCCTTTCCAGATCTACTTTCTTGGCCTGCCTGTATTCCCTTTGAATTTCTTTGTTATTTTTTTTGTAAGCCTCACTTCGTTTTCTCATATTTTACCGTCTATCTATTTTCCTTATAAATTAATTTGTCATCCACTTACTCTTAGCCTTGTTCCCCATATGTCCTTGTCCTATCAGTCTTTAACATTACTTCTTTGTAATTATTAACTGAATTGTTGTCCCGGTCATTGTTCATCAAAGTCACCCTCTAGAAATACTGAAAATCTATTGTCGGTTTCTATTTCACATTCTATCCCTGCCCTATTTTGAGTTAATATTTTAAAATTTTGAAGGTTTGACCTACTAAACTCATTACTGGGACGTGATCTGACCCACACTCTGCCCCTGGATAGGTCTTAGTTTGGGTTATTGAATTTCTGATTTTTTCTTAATTAAAATGTAATCTATTTGATTCCTGCCTATGTTGTTTCTATTATCCTGGGGTAAGATCCATGTATAGGGATGCCTAGGGTGTTGTTCAAACAATGTATTAGCAATTGAAACCGTTTCGAGTCTCGTCATCATATCATATATTCAGTAGAGTCATAAGTTGTTACATATCATGTTTGCTTGTTTAGTTATTTACTTTACACTAGAGAAACAAAGCTGTCTCAGTTACATTAATTTGAAAAAAAAGGAGTTGTTGTCTCATTACAGAATGATGTAACAAGTATGAATTATTTCTTTATTCGTGAATTTAGATATCAATAACCTTGTATGTAGTGTAGGCATGTCTTTAAACTAGAGAATAACTCTTAAAAATACATTGTACTTCTAAGCACATGAAAAATCTAAAAATCAAACCCTACTCATGGTATTCTCCTTATTTCAGAAAACCTTTTGTACACCACCTCCCCTCCCGACCTTCACCCAATCCATCTCCAGGCGCTGTGTGTAGAGTGTACAACAGGGTAACTCTGTTTTTTCTTTATTTCTTGCTCGCTTGTCCGGGCGACATCTCAGGCACTTTTTGAGCTAGGAAGCTGAAATTTGGACTTGATATGGCATTTCTATTACTGTTTGCACTTTCATCATTTATCGTTTTTAATGCATAATTACTCATGGTTGATTATCAAGATCTGAAATCACATTACTAGGGCCATTTTTTTGTTTAATGTAAGTAAAAACCGGTTAGGACTTATAGTTGTTTAGGAGGATTAATTAAAATACATATTATATGCAAGTGATATTTCTTCATAATACATTATTTTAAATTACCAGGGCTCAGAATCATGCTTAGGAAAGACTCCATGCAATAGCCTCCTCGCATGAAGTGTCTGGGACATAACACAAATAAGAGCACGACACATACTGTAGCTTGCTGCTCGTATACCTTCACGGGTAAATTTCTCCAATTTCAAGCTTGCTACAATTTTCCTTGTCACCCAGAGTATCTCAGAGATTACCTTAATTTTCTTAAGTAAAGTTATGCATCAACAAACTGTTACTCTAACAGAGCAGTCTTCCTGTATGAGAAACATCTGTCAAGATACATAATGTATTAAATTAAATTGTTAATTTAATACAATTCCTCAAATAAAGGTTTTTGGGGAAATCCCGCAAGACTAGATTTCTTAGGAGACTTCAATCGTCTCAAGAATTTTGCGAAATACAACAAAATTCATAGTATCCCATGGTAAAAGGGTGCAGATGATCTCATGGCTGAAGCACCTAAAACTAAAACAAAAACAGCAACTACAATATATATATATATATATATATATATATATACTATATATATATATATATATATATATATATATATATATATATATATATATATATATATATATATATATATATATATATATATATATATATATATATATATATATATATATATATATATATATATATATATATATATATATATATATATTTATTTATTTATTTATTTATTTATAAATATAACTCTTGGCACATCATACAGTATAGTGTATATGAAAAATAATATAAATACAAAAAAATACAGATAAAAAAGGAGGTGGTAGGAGAAAACAATATGTACTCACAGTTTACTGAAAATTATATCAAATTTCAATCTATAGTCAGAGAGGCGAAAGATTTAACTAAAGATGATGTTCCATGAAAAATGAGATTCGAAAATGGGATCACAAATTAAAATTAATATCACATTCATTGTAACTAAAATATAATACAAAAATAGAAAATTCCTCCCTCAAGAAACATAGTACTGAGAATCATCTGGCTCCAATAAGAGTTCTTTGAAGCTTGCAGCGGTAACACACTGTTAGTTACCCTGCCACCCCTTCCCCTTCTAGAACGAGAGTCTAACAATAGGCCATCCCATCGCATTAGTTTGTTTAATTCCATGACTACACCTATTTATACAGATTTCAGCACAGAAAAGATCAGGCATCCACTGCGTTTGCCAATAAATATAGAAGTCTTGGTGTGCATTTTATATTAATTAATAAAAAACATAACCAACTAAACATATGGGGAAATATATAAGTATACTGCACTGTTTAACTTACTCTTCCTATGCTATGTTATGAATCTCAACAAAGATAATTAATACCTGATTAATAGATAGCTATTCAAGCTTAACAGGTGTTTAACAGTTAAAGAAAAGTGATGGGCGACTAAAATTCTACCATTGTGAGAGTTTTTCTAGTCATAAATGTTAACCTTTGCAAGAAAACATGGGTAAAAATGACAATGGGGAAGTAGGTGGAGTTTCGAAAAGTCTTCTTGTCCTCACTTGCGTCCTGCCCGAAGAATACTGACCCATTTTCTAAACTGGTCTATTTCTCCGTGGCGTTCCGTCGCGTAGACGCACCACAGGAAATCCATGGTGTGAAAGCAGTCTTTCCTGAAGTACAATGTTTTCAAAATGATCTCACCACCTCCTGTTATTCCCTTAAATTGCACAGCTTAGGGTATCATTGTGTTATTACTCAAAATTCATGGGGACAAAATTGCAGATACAGAATATCACAGAATTTCATTAGTTGGCTCATACTATAAGACATCATTTACTTTTCAGAGAGTTATGACTCAATCAAACAATCAATAAGAGTACCGTCCTCATATCTGAGGGTTGGCGATCACAGTCCTCCACTCTAAACGTACTCTGGCTGTTTTTACCAATCCTCCAAACTTTTGTTTCTCTTTGGAGTCAGTTTTTAATTTCATTCATCCATACCAGTCTTTGCTTTCCCTTGGCCCCCCACCCTCAATTTTTCCAATTAATAATTCTGCTATTATTCTCTAATCCTAGTTATATGGCCAAAGTATCTAATTTTTTCTTGAAGTTTTTGCTAATCTTAGTACCTCTTTATTTGTCAGCGCAGCTTATGCTTAACATTCGCCTATAACACCACATTTCAAAGGCCTACAGCGTCTTTTTGGTGTCAACTAAAAGTGTCCACGCTTCTGACCCATGCAATAGCCCTTCCCATATATAGCCTTTCAGCAACCTTTTTCTCATATTGAAGTTAATGCCTCTTTTCATTAGGACTTTTAAATCATTAAATGCTGTTTTTTACCTGCTCTATTCTTGATTTGATTTCTTCCCTTCATCTACTATTACAACTAATGTTACTTCTCAAATAAACAAAATTTTCCACTTGTGTTATAACTGACGGAGGTATAAACTAACTACAATGCAGTTTCGCCAAGTCACTTCTCATTTTGACTCGTCTAATCATCATCGTAAACATAGTAACAGTACATATTTTTTTCACTGTCTTCTATATTGTGATTTTTTTGGGCAATATTGGTGGTACTTAAATTCAGTCACTCATTGACTGTATGGCATTATTAATTTTTAGCTAACAGCTTTTAACATTCAATTATCAAAGGTAATTGTAGAATCTTACTGGTTTTATGCTTCACATTATAAGGATTTAATACGAGTCCAACTTCAGCAATTTGTCTTGTGTGTTAACCATAGTTTCTCTAGCAAAGTTTCAGCGGTTGCTTCGCGTGTCGTTTTTTTGTCTTAAGATATATGCAACTGTCAGTTTTCTAGATCAATTATAAAAATGTTTCAGATGAAAAGTGAAGGTGCTCCCCTTTGACATGACAGCCCTAGGTACAGTATGGATACAACACATTCTATACAATGCCTTCGGCACACAAGGAGGCAGAGTGGCCGGCACTGCACACGACGGCCTTCATTTTCCGAAATGTTAAGTTAGTTACCCATTTAAAGCTAGATTGAGTAGGAGTGTCTGTGATCGACCATTAGGACAGGAGGCGTGGTACAGCTACACAAATGACTGGGAAAACTCACTTGCACATGACCCCCACGTCATTATTGCGGAAGATGTTGGCGCAGTCGTTGCACACCCAGGCCACTTTCTCGTAGAGGTCACGATTACCCATTACACCAGGACATTCGTCGTTAGTAAACCAAGCCGACGCCTGTTGTGTCACCGAGCCGCAGAGTACGACGACGATTACCAGCAACAACCAAACTCTCTGTGTGGTTACAAACAACTGTTAGGGCATCTAGATGGCTCCACCAGTCTTTTTCTTAGTACATTGCAAGCTGAAAGCAATGCTTGATAGATACACTTAAGTAATCACTGCCAATATCAGTCTTTGCACAGTCGCAGTGTGCAGAGGAAAAACAAAACAATATAGTCAGTTTTTACCTACCTGGCTTCACTCTGTTCTGTGTTGGATATGTCCAAATTAGCGTTAAATTAAAAATAAATGAATAACGGAGGTCACTCCGTAGAGTAGGTCAGTATTTGTTTCATTTTTGTGTCAGTAGTGTATCATTAACTCAATTAAAAGCATACTCACCACATGAACACGTCACTACTGTAGCCTAGTGCACAACATAGGGCAAAGAATATATCACGAGAATTCGGAACATATTCTTCTCAATATATAGTTTAATCTAGTTATTATGACTCAACTGGGTATTCTCACATCTGTCAGGAGTATGAATTTCATAGTTACAGTCAAAAAGTTTATGTGCGATGACGCAATGTCTTATGAATTTACCTTCAAGAGGGATCACTGGAATTTGGAGAAATGTAAGAACTTTGTCTCCTGGATTGAAATTACGAACTCTATTTTGGCATCATAATGTACCTTCAAGACATATTGGCTGACTGAAAGATTAGTCATTGCTATTTTTCTCACGGGAGACAACTTAGTTTTAAGTTGATTCATATTCTGAGATACTGTTTGGTTAGCGTGAGATGAAGTTTCTGAAAACCACTAATCTTTAAGTACTTCAAAAGGGTTTCTAATCGGTCTGCTAAAAAGCAACTCAAAGGGAGAATATCCTAAAGATTCTTGTGGACCTTCAGGTCAGGCAACAAATAAGTGAATGTTCTCATCCCAATCTGACTTGTCTCAAAAAAGTATTTCTTAAACATGGGCATGTAAGCTTGAGAAAAACGCTCTTGCAGCCCTGGGATTGCGGGTGGTAAGCCAATGACAGTTGCAGGGTCATACCGAGTTCCTTCAAAAAAAAAAAATGTCACTGGTGAAGTTAGTACCCTGATCACACTGCATTTCTTCGGGAATTCCTACTAAAGTGAATAAGTAGAGAAGACATTTAAATTTGGATTTAGCAGAACTATTCGTCAACTGACACGTTTCTGGATACTGAGTTGCAGCGCGCATTACAGTGAGTAGATACAAATGACCTTTCTCTGTCCAAGACAATGGTCCGACACTCAATAATAATTCCTTCGAAAGGTTCTGAAATAACTGGGATGTGTTGTGAAAAAGCTACAGGAATGATCTTATTTGGCTTGTCAACACTCTGGCAAACTTAACGTAGTTTGACAAAATTAACTACATCTTTTTTTATTCCTTATTATTTCTTTAGTATAGATACTCCAGATATACTTTTTCCAAATATGTCATGGTAAAGTATATTTTCCTTCCTTGGTGGTTATTAGTACGATTTTATTCACACAAAGAATTTTAATGAGAATTTAGTCATTTTATAATTGTGTAGAAAAAATACCAAAATCTTTATTATACAAGAGTTTTGTAGGGAATCCAGGAAACGTAAAGGTACCACGTGATTGAGCTTCAGGAATTACTGGAATACCCGAACTCAGTCGTTTATTTTGACCTGCATGTAATACGATTTGCTATACACGGATGGTGTGAGCGCATTCAAGAGCTTTAAAGAAATAATAGCGCTTTGTCAGTCTTATTCTGATTAAGTTTTTTATTAGGATTTTCTGAATGCGGATGATCTTAAAGTATCGGAAACTTTTTAGGGAAATTAATGATAAGAAATGTGTTGTCATCATATATATGAAAAGTCAATAATCTTATTCTCTGTGAACAACTAGACTCCTGGTATATGTATTCCCCAAAAAATTTGAACACGCGATAATACCCTGAAAATCCTTGTCAATCCAGAAGAAATTATCCAAAATTTGCAACGCCCTACCTGTACAGTGTACACCAACTACTGACACGATTACAAAAATTCTATGAAAAGAAAAATGACTTCGAATTCGCCAATTTAATCGGATCATGAATGCTGTCAAACGCTCTTGGATACGATTCCATACTGCCCAACAAATTTGTTAAGTATTTTATCAATGAGCCACAGTTTTCCTAAAATCAAGGAAATCCCTGATCAACAAGGAATCAAGGTACCTTCATAACTATGACATACCCTGTGCTGTGTTGCCTCTGTTCTGACCCTTTCAATTAGGTATAAGCAAACAATCCAAGACTGCACGGTTAAGTGAACAAGGTTGTGGGTAGTACTGTAAGATGTGAGTGTATATGTCCGGCTAAAGTATGGCTAAGCTAGGATGTAAGTACAAATTGAGAAAGTGGTTTGGGGAAAATGTGTGTTGGTTGGAAATATGAATGTTCAGGCAGAGATAAAAAGTGGTTTTGAGGTGAAATCTCATTAGGTATAATAGCAGCGTGAGAAATTTTGTGGATTAAGCTGGAAATCTTGGAGTCATTAAATCCTTTACTTTATCATTTTACCTGTATAATTTGTATACGACTTTACTTATTTGTTATGAGTAATTTACCTTATTAAACTGTAATATTTTTAAAACATTTTGACGGTAATAATGCTTATATTAATAGGAGAAAGTTTAAGTCAAATACGAAGAAAATAAAAAACACTAGATGAAAAGTATATATATATATATATACATGCCTGTATATTCTTTTTATGTAATAGTGAAGTTAGACTAGGTTATCTATGAAACTAGTGCATTTGTATATATTATGATGATCTACAGTACATGATGGTCTTTGGTCAGTCAAACGTTTAAAAAAAATTATGTTATCGCTATTAGAAAATTATCGCCTATTTAGGTACGTTTGCTTAGGATGGTTTTGTACAGGGGTTCTCAACCAGGGGGGGAATTTCCCCCCCTCAGGTTTTCAGGGGGGGGGGGGAACTGATACTAATATGGAAAAAATAAAGGATTTTCAGTATTATATGCATATTATTTGGAATGCACTTTTTGAGGCAGACAATCTTGGAAAGGAGGGGGAAATGACATTCTGACATATGGTGAAAGGGGTGCATGGGGCAAACAAGGTTGAGAACCACTGGTTTAGTATATTTAATGATGGTGATAACTAAATTCAGTTTATAGTATGGTTATTTACAAGACTATACCTACATTATACACAACAGTTACAAAAATAGGTATGAAATTTATGTTAATAAACCAAATAAAACATAAATAATAGTGAACCACACTGTGACTGAGATTGAGTACAATATATGTGGGTGGGATTAGGAATATATATACTGTATTGATGACCAACCGGAGTGTTTGGTGTGTAGTGCCGGCTGAAGAAAACAATCAAACTGAAAACTGTGATGCAAACAAAATCCACCAGAGAAGATATGTTGAGGCACTGTCTGCAGGGCGTTTGTTAGAGCGTGATACTGACCTGTACAGAGAAGCCTGACGCAACGCGAGTTACCATAACTTTGGGCACTTCAGTATTCGTGACACAACTTGTGTGGGTTTCTCGTAGTGTCTTTTGAAAACGCTACAAGTAAGCACCAAATCTAGCGCGGTTCTCCAGCTGTGTTGTGAGAGCTAGAGATTTAAGTTAAGGACAGCCTGTAGCGCGTGTGCAGAACCCTACTGTCTAGGGTGAGAGCGGGGAAGGAAATTAACGTTATACAGAGTTGGGATATCCTGGTTGATGACAGGGAAGGCTCGAGGAATCTTGTCCTTTGCCTGGTCTTGTAGCTGTCGTATGGCCACTACGCCACAGGTGTCACTCTTATATGCCTCTAGATATGACGTCATGATGCGTGACACGCGCTGCGCTTAAACTTCTAGTCAGCTCCCCCTTACACAGTTTCTCGTAATTTCACTTCCAAACCCGATATTTTGATGTTTTCTATATGAATTTCTTTACTTCCATGGATGTTCATCCTTTATACTGTGTTTTATCTTATCTCATTTTAATAATTATATAATATATGAGCACGCACACACACACACACACACACATATATATATATATATATATATATATATATATATATATATATATATATATATATATATATATATATATATATATATATATATATATATATATATATATATTTCATGTAGATCCACAATGAAAACGTGGATAAGATAAATCTTGATAAAATCACACAGGGAAAAGGAAAACAATGGAGCACCTTAGCTTTCGTCTTTATTCAAGACATCTTCAGAGGCATGTCCATGTAATCCAGTTGCCTCTGAAGATGTCTTGAATAAAGACGAAAGCTAAGGTACTCCGTTGTTTCCATTTTCCCGTGTGATTTTATCAAGATATATATATATATATATATATATATATATATATATATATATATATATATATATATATACGTATATATACGTAGTGAAAGGTGATTTAGTATATGTTGATAATTGATAAGGAAAGAAGAAAACAATGAAAGCTTGGGAACTTCTAGTTTTCTTTCCTTGTATAATAGCATATATATATATATATATATATATATATATATATATATATATATATATATATATATATATATATATATATATATATATATATATATATATTATATATATATATATATATATATATATATATATATATATATATATATATATATATATATATATATATATTTCATGTAGATCCACAATGAAAAACGTGGATAAGATAAATCTTGATAAAATCACACGGGAAAAGGGAAACAACGGAGCACCTTAGCTTTCGTCTTTATTCAAGACATCTTCAGAGGCAACATCTTCAGGTGCTCCGTTGTTTCCCTTTTCTCGTGTGATTTTATCAAGATATATATATATATATATATATATATATATATATATATATATATATATATATATATATATATATATATATATATATATATATATATATATATACATACATACATAAATACATACATACATACATACATACATACATACATACATACATACATACATACGTACATACATACATACATACATACATACATACATACATACATACATACATACATACATACATACATATACAGTATATGTCATAGTATTGGCGCGGTGAGAAGCCCAAGCAACATACTGTACAGTAAGGCAGATCGACCCAGAATGGACGGTGAGGCGCCATGTGAATTACGTGTTGGAACTGATTTCACTGTCAAACCTGCACGCACAACTGAAGTGAGACCCAGCACATTTTCTCAACCATGACTGTATTATACCAGAAATGCTTTTTATCCTATGTGTCAGTTTACATGTAAATGGACCAACGTATCAAATAGTATAGCGTATTGGAGGGAAAAATTATAGATGCGTAATACATATATATATATATGCTGCGTGTGCAAGCAGCTTATTTATTCGTATGTGCGTGTGTGAGTGCGTGCATGCTTGTGAAGACGCGTCCTCTTACATGTATAGGAACGCGCGTCTGCTACTGTGTTTATACGCTGGTGTTAGTATGTGCGTGCGTGTGTGTGTGTGTGTGTAAATAATAATAACAATAATAATAATAATAATATTTAACGGTTTTTGAAAGAGCATGGCGGCCGGAAGACTGAAAATATACAGTATAGTTACATAATTGGGGAATGTGTCTCTTGATTTACAAATAATATACAAGTAACATAAGTGATACAAATATGATATATAATAACTAGGTGGGAAGAAGCTCAAACTACAGGGCATTTCAACATAGTGACAGTGCAAAAAGTATGATTGACTGGGAGCGAATACAGTGGTTGATTACAAGTTATTGATAATTTTTACAATGGTTGGGACTGGGCTGTTCTTATAGCGCTCAGTTCGTGCTCGTATGGGCTGGATGCAGTTGTGGTGTCAAACAGCAATTCTCAGGCGAGGGATCTCGGGTGGTAGTAGGAACCGGTGTCGAGGATGGTGCAGAAGCTTCTCACCAAATTTGCAGATGAGGTCGTGGTGATGGTCAGAGAGAACCGAGAGGGTCAGTGTGTTGAGCGCTTCTTGATATGAGGAGTAGGAAGAGGAGAGAATAATCTTGCATGCCCTCTTTTGCACTTTTTCAGGGTGTTTACGTTGTGTGACATTTAGGGAGGAAAACCAGGTAGGGGAGGCATAGGTGAGTAAACACTGAGGAGCTCGGGGGCAGGAACTCCGAGGCACTTGAGTCGGCGGAGGGGGTGGAGACGGAAACTGGAGGATTTGACAACTTCACTGACGTGTGGTTTCCAATTTAGTTTGCTGTCTATCGTGACGCCGAAAGGCTTAGTGGAATCTACAACCTGGAGTGTGTTGGGACCTAAAGTAATGGAAGGGGGTGGGACAACGTCGGAGGAAAGGTTAATGTGCATAACCATGGTCTTGGTATGGTAGATGATGACATGGTTGTTGGTGGCCCAGTTTTGGGCGACTGTTCAATAAATCCTGAAGGGCGGTATAGTCGGGAGCAGAATTGTTGACGCTGATCCCAATGGTGGAGTCGTCGACATATTTCCAGCGAGCAGGGGTTTCTCTTTGGGCATCATTGATAAGCATAAGGAAGCATAGTGGTCCCATCTTCGTGCCTTGGGGGACGCCACAGGTGAGTGACTGAAAGATGGAGACAGCCCCTCGAAAGCGTACAGCTTGGCGTCGGTTACTGAGGAAGTCTCTAAGCCATGGTATAAGACTTCTTCGAAACCCGAGGTCGATAGCTTTGTTGATGATTAAATTGTGGTCGACTATGTCGAATGCCTAAGTGAAGTCAATGAAGGCGACAGCTACAGACGTTTTTCGTTTCTCCAGATGGCGGTATATCTAGTCGAGAAAGCTGACAAGACAGTGAGTGGTGGAGGAAGTTTTCATATTACCAAATTACTGAGGATCTACGGCTCCTGCAATATCAGCATAAGCCCAGTCAAACACAAAACTTTCACAGATTAAGCTGGGTATTGGGGTGATTGCAATGTGTCGTAGCTGATTTAAGGATTGTGGACTGGTTGACTTGGGCACTTGTGACACATATGAAGTCTTCCAGTCAGCTGGGCATCTGGCTTGTCTGAGGGAAGCGTTGATGATGGAGCAGAGGGGCTTAGCCAGCTCCGGGAAGAACTCCTTGAAGAGTTTCATTGGTAAGTCAATGAGAGTGGTGGAGCGTTTTAACTTTTGTTTGTCCATACGTTTTACTACTTCAAATTCTTCTACTAAGTCAGTGGGAAAGGGGGCTGGTAGGTAAGCAGGGAGATTGGTTGTGTCAAGCCGGGGGAGCGTCTGGTATATAGTAGCGAAATGGTTATTTGATTGCTCAGCTGCGTCAACATTAGTGAGATGGCTAAGGAAGGGGAGGGGGTGTGTCTTATTGTTTAGTCCACAGAGTTCTTTAAGCTTACCATCCCACTGACTGATGTTGGTCTGCTTCAGGTGTTGCAATTTGGTTGGGTAGTGAGACTTCTTTGCAGTGCGTATTTCGCGGATGACTCGGTTGCGAAGGGACCTGTAGCGGTTGTGGTCATTGCGATAAAAGGCTCGGTCTCTCTGTTGCATAAGTCTTTTGATCCGAGGTGTGATCCAGGGTGTGTGTGTGTGTGTGTGTGTGTGTGTGTGTGTGTGTGTGTGTGTGTGTGTGTGTGTGTACGTGTGTGTTTCAGAATGCGCTAATGTGCATGAATATATAGATGTTTGTCTACTTGAGAATGTATTTGTATATGGGTATCTGATTGCGAGAGTTTTTATTGTGTGCATGTGCAAGTGAGTTTGTGATCTGCGTGGCGTCCACATGTTGTGTTGGCGTACACACACATTAAAACGATGGTCTCTTGAGACTAAAAATCCACCAAAGATACGCCTCTTGCCCATTTAAGACCTGTTATAATACAGGTCTTACTTTATTAGTCCGCAAACAAATTCTAGAATCTATACTGTCCTCCTCCATAAAGCCGCCGAAATGCGTATCATCACCGCTTCCGAGATACCAATATTATTATACCTTGTTTGTTGGATCCTAATGCCTAATTGTATAGCGTTATAAAGTATCCGATAATAATTTATCAGGTCACCATTCATACTGTTGTGTGGGCCCGAGTACTGCTAGACATTAAGTTTGGCTCTCTTGCAAGAAAAGGTTGAGCAACACACTTCTGGCTCACTCATTGTTACTTTTTTATTCCTCCCACGACTGTGGCTCCACAAAGAGGCTACTATGTATAAAGTCAGCTAACACCAGATAACACCAGAAGTTTCAATAAAACATTTTTTTTTATATTTGCCTTCTGAAGAGAATGTACTCCATTCGGTTCTTCTCTAAGAGCGATGGTGGTAGCTACAGATTTATACCAGATTTACACTATTTAATATGAAGAAAAAACCCAATACACTTTAAGTGCAGTTGGTTTGAACAGGCAACTATTTTAATAATGATATCAGGGACATCACTGTTTTTACATGTTGATACCAGAGTTGGTAGTGACACCACTTTTGGGCATCCTATTTTGTCCTCGCCAGTTTATTGGTGATAACGTTTAAAAAAAAAGTACAGTACTGCTTCAAAACTAAACAACTACCATGGTATTGCTGAAATTTAAGACTAAAGGTTTTAAGATTAAGCTGCGACTGTGGAAACAGTTTGAAGATCAGGCTACAATATTCGAAGTTAGAATAAGAGTATTAATATTAATATTTATTCAGTGAAATTGCCATTCGGGATTACATTTGAATAGACATGCATATACCATAGAAAGTATGCAGGTATACAATTCAACATGAATATAGACAATGCAAGCATACGGTGT